TAGATATAATCTAATGGAGGAGAGAGAGGGAGGGAGGAAGGGAGAAAGAAGGAAGGGGGAGAGAGAGGGAGGGAGGGAGGGAGAGAGGGAGGGAGGGAGGGAGGGAGGGAGGGATGAGAAAGAAGAAAGAGAATTACAATGACATCTAACAAGATCAAAATAAACTGAAAAGTGGTCAAACTTTAAAATCAAATTAATCACATGTGACGTATCATGTATCACAACAAAATCTCCATGACAACACATACATGTACATGTACATGTAATTAAATGTATCTTCTTTTTCTCACAGATCTCACACTCAATATAAACACAGACTAAGAGAAGCCATAATGACTTTTAAAAACAACACACTCCTCCAGCCTCAGATCACTAGGACAACCTCTGACATCACAACAGCCACTATCTGACCCAATTACAAGGAAATGCCTTTAACTCTAACCAAGTTGCAATAGCAACTGGAATGATGATGATGATGTCAAGATTAATTGGAAATGATGTATCAAAAATGTTGCATGGACTTCCTAGTAAGAGTACAATCAAAACAATAATGACAGGAATACAAAACATAAACCTATACACTACACACATGACATGTACATGTATTTGTACATGTACATGTACATGTATGTACTACAATGTACATGTACATGTATGTGTGGACGTAATAGGATGTATACATGTAGTATATGGTATATAGTAATGTCAAAAATGCGATTATATAGCTGTGTACGATTAGCTGTGTACACAAATCAAGCTACGTAGTAAAACATAGTGTATATAACAGGAACACACCCTTATACGTGTACATATACATAATACATATACATATACATGTACTGTACATGTACATATACATGTATATGTACACTATACGTGTACATATACACATACATTACATGTATATGTAAATACCATATCATAACTACATGAAAATGATATAACACATTATAAACACAATTATGATAATGACCCTACACCACAGACACATGTCACGCGCGTGTACATGTACATGTACATATTGTACACGCTCCTTGATAATGCCAAACAATCGAATGATCTCATAATAAATGGAAATGACAGGTGCAGTGAGGTGGTTTACATACGCTGATAACTTCTGAGTCTCCCATCCACTTTCCTAGTAATTCTTTCAGCGAGGGCCACAGCCGTATTAGGACCGTCAGTACCTTTTGATGGAAAGAGCGAGCGCAAAGAGAGAGAGAGACAATAGTTACTAATTACACATTGTTTCACCTCTCTCTTTCTTTTTTTCTCTC